CAGTAATTGTGGCTCACAGGCTCAGGAGTTGTGGCTCGCAGGCTGAGTAGTTGTGGCACACGAGCTTAGTTGCTCTGCGGCATGTAGGATCTTCCCAGACAAGGGCTTGAACCCATGTCCCCTGCATTGGCAGGCAGATTCTTAACCATTGTACCACCAGGGAAGTCCCCGTGATTTTTGCCATCAATGAAATTAAATATTTCCTGAACTCACTGATATTTTCAGTAAATTAGGTCAATTATTATATTATTCGTTCAATATTTTATTATTCTCAAATATAATATTGTACTTCATCTTATTTTCCTTAAAACTTGTTCAGTTAATCAAGATGCTGGTATTGTGATAACATTAAAACCTTTAGATTGTCTGGAAATGGTACATTCTGGTTTGTTCGTTCATTCATTTATTCATTCCTTCAATGAGTATTTACTAGGTGCCTACTATGAGCTCAGTACTGTTCTGGACACTGGAGAACAACAATGGGCAAGATAAAGTTCACCCTCATGGAGTTTACATTCTAGTGGGGGAGACAGAATATTATAAATGAAATAAGTAAATAAAATGTAAATGTTAGGTAGCAGAAAGTGCCAAGGAGAAAAAACAGCAGGGAAAAAAGATTAGATAAGACAGCCAAGGGATGGCCCCTCCCAAGGAAGGTTTGAGTAAATACCTGAAAGAAGTGAAAGAGAAGGCCATGAAGATACCTGGGAGAAGAGAAGTGTGAGGAGACCAGCACAATGGCAGCAGGAAAGATGAAAACTGTTTAAATTCTGGATATATTTTAAAGGGCCAACAGAATTTAGTGATAGACCAAATGAGGAATATAGGGAAAATAAAGAGGAATCAACGAATGACGATTCTTAAGACCCAACCTGCACAACTAAATTTACTGATAAGGGAGAACTATAAAACTATGATATGTCCCCTTTTAAAACCTGACCTTTTTTATTTGGGCAATCTTAGATTGCAGTCTGCTTTCCTGTAAAAGGCACCTTAACGACTGTTTTCTGGGTCTTATAAACCAAATCTTTCTCTTGACATCCCACGTTTTTAATAGTGCCAGTATTTCAGGGGGGGCATGTAGGGAGGTGGGAAAGCCTCTAGTCACAACCTGAATTAACGTGGATCCCCAGGAACCATGTGTACCAATTCCTAGAGCCATTCTGGATGTTATTATTCTGAGTTCTGACTTGTTTTTAAGAAAAGAATTTCCTTAAACTGACCAGTCTTAAAGTCCACTTGCCCGTTCCTTTTCAGATTACAGGTAAATAAAAAGTTTATACAGTTTTGTTTTCATTAACTAGATAAGCAGAATCAGACAGAATTAGCATCTGGGGTTTTTTTGAGAAACTGTGCTAACTCCCACTAGTTGGAAAGAAATCTTTAATAAGAACAGTCAGGGACTTCCCTGGTGGCGCAGTGGTTAAGAATCCACGTGCCAACGCAAGGGACATGGGTTCAAGCCCTGGTCTGGGAAAATCCCACATGCTGCGGAGCAACTAAGCCCATGCACCACAAATACTGAGCCTGTGCTCTAGAGCCCGCGAGCCACAACTACTGAAGCCCGTGTGCCTAGAGCCTGTGCTCTGCAACAAGAGAAGCCATCGCAATGAGAAGCCCGTGCACTGCAACAAAGAGTAGCTCCTGCTCGCTGCAACTAGAGAAAGCCCGTGCGCAGCAACGAAGACCCAACACAGCCAAAACTAAAACAAATAAATTAATTATTTTTTTTAAAAAAAGAACAGTCAAACACAGGTAATAATGATACTTTAAATTCCCATTGTGTTCTACATTATAAATGGTATCTTAATTATTTCCCTTACTCTATTCCCCAACCCTTTCAGTTATTTTCATAGATGAGGAAACTGAAGCTTATACCAATTAAACTTTTTGCCCAATATCATTTTAGACAGCAACAATACCATTAAAACTTGGGTTTTCTGACAATGTCGAGTACTGTTCCCTACTATTAATATTCTCCATTAAAAGAGTTTCATTAACCTTAAATAATGAAACTACCTAAAGTTTACTGACATCTTCAGTATATATTTGTACTATATTTGAAAAACTTACTGTAAAGAACACACTTTTTAAAAGTGGGCTTCCTTTCCATTAAAATAAATCCTCCACACCTTTACCTATTATATTCATCAGTAGGGGGAAAAAAAAAAAACAACTGAGTCCCTGGAGGATCAAACATTAGCTCACCCATATCAACATACCTAAGATCTCACAGTCCTCGGTGCCTTTAACTACACATTAAGAAGGAAACAGAATGTAATCCTACTGTACTCAGTAGGTCATACATGGAGACAACCAACTTTCCAAAATAGCTCTGAGTTTTCCCTAAGAAAAAGAAATAGGGAAAAAAATGTAACCTTATCACATACTTGAAAGGTATAATATATAGCAAATAATTTAGCTTACTAACAGCTTGAATCAACTAAAATCTGTAATAGTCATCTATATTAGGGGAGAGCAAACTTTTCTGTGAAGGGCCAGAAAGTAAATATTTTAGGTTTTACAGGTTATATGATCTCTTATCACAACTACACAGCTACTCAATTCTGCAGCTGTAGCACAAAAGCAGCCATACACAATAAAATTAATTAATGGGTGTGTTGTGTTCCAATAATACTTTAAAATACAAATGAAGGGCTGGACTTGGCCTGCTATAGTTTGCAACCTGTAATCTATACTATCTTGAGCTCACTTCCTGATGGAGATGAAAAAAATTAATGTAGAATGAGATAACTAGACAACAAAATATATTATTCTCTTTATTCTTCAGCTAACCTCAAAACTTTTAATAAAATCAGATTTTTAAAAAATCATTGTTAAATTATCGTGCCTACATGTGTTAAAGGTACAATAAAGTTTTTAGAAAAGAAAAACTTTTCTAGAAAAAATAAAGAAAAAATAAAGTTTTTATCTTCTAGGATACGTACTAAAAGATTTACAGATTAAATAATATGATATCTGGATCTGCTTCAAAATAAGTCAGTGGAGGAAATGGGAGGCAAGAGGGTACAGATAAGACAAAACTGACCAGGAAAAATAACTGAAGTAGAGTAACGGGTACACAGGATTCATTATACTATTCTATTTCTATACATGTTTAAAATTTCCAATAATAAAAAAACTAATAGCAACCAATCAACTTACAAACAAGCTAGTGCATGATGAATCACAATTTTATGTGCATTCGTAAAATTAACTATTTTCTCCAACTTTTAAACCAGGATTTCCCAACCTCAGCGCTACTAACATTTTGGACCAGATCACTCTTTGTTGTGAGAGCTGCCCTGTACACTGCAGGATATTTAGTAGCATCCTTAGTTTCTACCCATTAGATGCCAGTAATACTCCCCTGCTCCCTAGCAACCAGTTGTGACAATCAAAAATGTCTCCACAAAATGCCCCCGTGGGACAAAAATGTGCCCCAATTAAGAATCACTGTTTTAAACAAACTATATTGCTGTTTATGACAGACAATGTTAATTCTTACATTCTAGAAAAATGAAACTTTGATAAATTTTTGTTTTACTCTTAGGCAATGAATTATATTTATATTTCAATCCAATTTTTAAATGTAGTTTTTCCTCTACCAGTTGGGACACTGTGTTATTAATTTAACCTGATGTGTAAATATTCCTTTTTCACGCTATTTCTACAAATTACATCTGCCTACAATGGTTTTTAAAACAGAAAATGCACAGAATGGAAATCCAAAGGAGGAGATATGGTAGAAGTCCACCTGTACCTTACTGCTTTAGTAAGAGATGTGGTTTCCAAAGTGAAAGATAAATTATTTACAAACACCTAGCCTACTGAGCTTCACTCCAACTCCAAGCTTATGTGTACAGTAATAACTAACCATTTGCTTTGTATTTGAGTTCAATTAAGGAAAAAAAACCCCTACTCTTGAGAAATAGTGCTAACGTCATTCCCCACCCCACAGCTGCATCCCTATTCTACACAACATCTCATATAGTTTACAAACGTATAATATACTACTTTAAAATTCAAGCTCTAGGCAAAAGAAAAATTCCAACATCAAAGATGACTTATTTACACCTACAAAACCAATGGCTCTTTAGTAGCTGTCCAACAACTCAAGATACATACAACTGGGGGAAAAAAGCAAAAATAATGTAAGACTTCTCTTTTCAAATATATGTCATTAAAATTTTATAATTAGTAAAAACAGGCTGGTCAACAAATTTAGCCCTCAGAAATTCAAATCCATATTAAATAGCTTCCTCAGATGAGAGTGTCATTTGGACAAAATTGCAACCTCTTGTCTAGTTAAACTTTGATAGAATTTGGCTTATTCCTAAATAATCTTATATTAGACTAAAACAAATGTAATTCTAATATACTCTTTAAGTGATGAGGTTATAGTTAGCTACAACAAAGGGAGCCATCCCTCATACCAGCCATACAATGAAATTCCAATGATAGTAAAAATCATTTATTTCTCCTTTAATAAGAATATACTCTAAATTAAGCACATATACACACACAGAGCGATAAACATGCATTATAAAAATCTTCAAAAACCCATATAAAGATTAGGAAACAAAAAGACTAAACAAATTCTAGTTTACTTTTCCCCTCAGGAGATAAACAACAACAACAAAAGGCCTCTGAGTGTCACATATCAGGAAAAATCTTGCCGCACGTGATTTATATTCCTATTCCCTCAATTTCCCCAGCATGACTCATGGGTAAATCCAACTGGGCTCCCAACAACATGGTGCTTCTACCATAGCAAAAGGAAACTATCTTCACTTAGGGTTATGCCTAGAATACTGAGCGATCACAGAAAAACACAAAATGCTTCAAAGCTGTCTTTTGTCAAATTTTTCTTTTCAATCAGAAAAGCCTTAGGTTAATATTAAATTTCAAAATGAAAAAAATCCATCTCATGATAAGAAGTACCATTTCTAGGACGTTAATTTTTACTTAAAATATTCTTTAAGCTTAGTTTTAATTACCTCTGCTTCTACATCCACATTTTGCTTCAACAGTAACTTCAAAATGTCAACATGTCCATTCTGACTAGCAGCTTGCATGGCTGTGTGACCAGCACACTGTCCATTCACCTAAATAAAAAAAGAAAGGGTGAAGGAATGTCACAAATCAGAAAGAGCCAATATATACATACAGTGTAGGTTTAAAGCCAGCAAATTATATGATTCTATGAAAACAATTTAGGTTGGTGTTCTATATACCCTAGCATAGATCACCAGAAACTGGTTTCTCTAATTTAGGGCGGGATACAGGCACTTTGAAATTTCCATTGTTCAAAGAGTTATGAAAACTTTTAGGCAGTCTGCAAAGGTGAAAATAGAAAAGAAGGAGGGGAAGAAGGGACGAAGGGAAGTAAGTTACATTCGTTTTGTGTGTATATGTCTACTTGAATTATTCAATCTCAGAGTCTGTTTCGATGAAGAAAAAGCAATGAGGTGAATGGAAAAACCTTTAGAAAAGATACTGTCTGCTACAGTATAAAGAAATTCAATTCAGCCAATATAGCCAAATGCTAATGGTAGTTTGACAATGGTAGTTTGCAAACTACCGTGAAGCATACATAAATGAGTTACCAGGGTAGCTATACACAACTGCTCTAATATAAAGCAGTAATTTTCAACCAACCTTTTCTTCACTTCAGATGTTGTGTAAATGCATTACTTATTCATGGATACACCCAAGTCTAAGTGTAATTCCTTAATCCTACTACATTCACTCCCATCCATAAAACCTTTTATAAAAAAATGGCTAAGGACACCAATTACTAATATAAGAAAAGGGGGTATCATTACAGATCCCATGGACATTAAAAGGATAATATGGAATATTCTGGCAACTGCCCACAAATTTGATAGGCTAGATGAAATGGACCAATTTCTTGAAAGACACAATCTGCCAAAATTCACACAAGAAGAAACAGACCATGTGAAAGGCCTCTGTCCAATAAAGAAACTGAATCAATAATTAATTAACTTCAAAAACCAAAAGCACTAGACCCATATGGGTTTACCAGTGAATTCTACCAAACATTTAAGGAAGAATTATACCAATTCTCTACAATCTCTTTCAGAGGCTAGAAGCTGAAGGAAAACTTCCTAAGTCATTCTATGAGGGCAGATTACCCTAATACCAAAACCGGACAAAGACACTACAAGAAAGGAAAACTACAGACCAATATCTCTCATGAACACAGATACAAAAATCCTCAACAAAATGTTAGCACATCAAATCCCAAAAAGTACATAAAGAATTATACACCACAACCAAGTAGAATTTATCCCAGGTATGGAAGGCTGGTTCAACATTGAAAACTCAATTAACGTAATCCATCACACGAACAGAGTTAAGAAGAAAAATCACATGATTGTATCAATAGAGGCAGAAAAAGCATGTGACAAAATCCAACACCCATCATAAAAACTCTCAGTAAACAAGGAATAAAGGGGAACTTTCTCAATTTGAAAAAGACTAGGTACAAAAAAATTACAGCTAGCATCATATTTAATGGTGAGAAACTCCAAACTTTCCTATTAAAATTGGGTACAAGGCAAGCAGGTCCACTCCCACCACTCCTTTTCAACATCATACTAGAAATCCTTGCTAATACAGTAAGGCAAGAAAAGAAAAGAAAAGGTATACAGATTGAGAAAGAAGACAGGAAACTGTCCTTGTTCGCAGATGACATGATCATCTATGTAGAAAATCTGAAAGAGACCAAAAAACTCCTGGAACTAATAAGCAATTATAGCTAGGCTGCAGGATACAAGGTTAATACACAAGTGTCAATTGCATTCCTATATACTAACAAGTAGAATATGAAACTGAAAACATAATATCACAGCACAGCAAAGGAAATCATCAACAAAATGAAAAGGCAACCTGCTGAATAGGAGAAAATATGTGCAAATCATACATCTGATAAGGAGTTAATATCCAAAATATATAAAGAACCCATACAACTCAAAAGCAAGAAAAACAATTTGATTAAAGAATGAGCAGAGGATCTGAATGGACATTTTTCCAACGAAAACATACAGATGGCCAACAGATACATAGAAAGATGCTCAACATTACTAATAATCAAGGAAATGTATATAAAAAAACACAATACCATCACATTACCATTACACCCCCCAAAATCAAACACTAAAGTATAAATCTAACAAAATATGTATAAGATCTACATGAGGAGAACTACAAAACTCTGATGAATGAAATCAAGGAACTAAATAAATGGAGTATACTCCATGTTCATGGATAGAAAGACTAACAGTTCTTCCCAACTTGATCCATAAATTCAATGCAATCCCTATGAAAATCCCAGCAAGTTATTTTATGGATACTGACAAACTGATTCTAAAGTTTATACTGAAAGGCAAAAGACCCAGAATAGCCAACTTAATACTGAAGAAGAACAAATGTGGAGGACCGACACTACCTGACTCCAAGACTTACTACAAAGCTACAGTAATCAAAACAGTGTGGTACTGGCCAAAGAATAGACAAATGGAACAAAGGAAAAGAACAGAAAGCCCAGAAATAGCCTCTCATAAATATAGTCAAGTGATTTTTAACAAAGAAGCAAAGGCAATACAACGGAGCAAAGATAATCTTTTTAACAAATGGTGCTGGAACCACATGAAAAAAATGAATCTAGATACAGACCTTACACCTTTCACAAAAATTAACTTAAAATGGATCACAGATCTAAATGTAAAACACAAAACTGTAAAACTTCTAAAAGATAACATAGGAGAAACTCTAGATGACCTTGGGTATGGTGATGACTTCTTTTTTTAAGATACAACACCAAAGACATGATCTATGAAAGAAATAGTTGATAAGCTGAACTTCACTAAAATTAAGATTTTCTGCTCTGCAAAACAAAATATCAAGGTAATGAGAAGACAAGCCACGGACTGGGAAAAAATATTTGCGAAAGACATATCTAATAAAGTACTGTTATCCAAAATATACAAAGAACTCTTAAAACTCAACATTAAGAAAACAGCCCAATTAAAAACTGGGCCAAAGACCTGAACAAACACCTCACCAAAGAAGACATACAGGGAGGGGGAAGGGTGAGGTGTGATAGGGCGAGAGAGAGACATGGACATATATATACTAACAAACGTAAGGTAGATAGCCAGTGGGAAGCAGCCGCATGGCACAGGGAAACCGGCTCGGTTCTTTGTGGCTGTCTGGAGGGGTGGGATAGGGAGGGTGGGAGGGAGGGAGACAAAGAGGGAAGAGATATGGGAACATATATATATGTATAACTGACTCACTCTGTTATAAAGCAGAAACTAACACACCATTGTAAAGCAATTATACCCCAATAAAGATGTTAAAAAAAATAAATAAATAATGATACTGATTATAATCCATCAGGGAAAAAAAATCAAAACTCATGAGTTCATACTGATAGAAATACACAAATAAATAAATATGAGGGAGAAGAGAAACCTCCACTTTATAGCAGGATGCCAACCAAAAAAAAAAAAAAAAAAAAAAAAAAAAAAAAAAAGAAGACATACAAATGGCAAATAAGCATATGAAAAGATGCTCCACAATATATACCATCAGGGAAACATTCTTACTATATGATCCAGCAATCACATTCCTTAGTACTAAGTCTTCTCAACAGCAATTCTGAATGCTGGAAGAAAATGGGATTATTCTGAAGGAAAATAATATCTAACCTTGAATTCTATTCCCATCTAAAACCTAATAGTAAGGTTAAAAAATATATATATTGAAGGTCTATTTCCCATGCACTCTTTTTCTGAAGAAGCTACTAAAAGCCATACATCACAAAAGAGGGAATAAACTTTGAAACAGAAGGACAGAGGATACAGAAAACAAAAAATCCAACGCAGGAGAGAGGGGAAGGGCACCTCCAGGATGACGGGTGAGAGACATTCCAAACGGGCATCAGGCATGGAGAGCAACCTGGCCAAATGGAAGAGGTCAGAAGGCACCGAGAGAAATCTCTCTCAGAAGATAAAATGAATACATACCTGATGTGCCTGAATTTTTTGACAGATTACACAATTAGAGAGAATTTTGGAGAAGAATTAATTATAACAATATAGATTGCTAATAAGTGAAAACAATTTCAGATTATCTCTTGGGATTAAGAGAGACTGGGAAAAACTACAAATGAACTCTTTGGAACGAAGGAAATGTTCTATATCTTAATAAGGCTGTGGATTATGTGGGTATATGCATTTGTCAAAACTGATCCATGTATTTCACTGTATGTAAATTACACCTTAGTCTTTTTTTAAAGAACAATTATGAACACCAAGGAAAACAGAAAGTTGTGTAAGAAAACACAATCTAGTATCCTCCACAGCTTAGATATGAATGTCATTTGAATAATAACATGTACAATTAACTTTAATCTTAACAAAATTACAATACAATATAATACCACATTAAGAACCTGGAAGAGGTGTGTATGTGTGTAGTGGGGATGGGCTGGAGGGCAAAAGAAAGCTGAATCCTCACCTTCACAGAGAGGTACCAAAAGATAATTCCTAAAACATAAAAATCAAGAAATAACAATAGAAATATGTTATTGAAAGATGTGGAGGTAAGTATATGAAGAAAATCAGCTGAAAGAGGTGAAAATAGCTGCCTCTGAAGAAAAGTAAAATAAGATTGAGAAAGAGATGCTGTTTTTCATAACAAACCTTGTAGGACTGTTTTTCCCTTGAAATTTTCAGAATGTATGACATTCTAAAAAACAACTAAAATAAATTAGTAATTAAATAAAGGAAAGAATTAAGTACAATAACATGTAAATCTGTTTGACTGAATATAAAAGAAATCTGACTCTACTTTCCAAACACAAAAAACTTGAATATCTGAAGCAAGTTATTTGTGACATAGCTCATAACCAATCAAGAAACCACTGCGTCATGCTGCTGCAATTGATCTCTAATAAACCTAAAATGCCACGTGAGATCATAGAAATAAGATGTTTACACCTTATAGTTACAGATCTGATCTTTGTCAAACTATCCAGCATACTTGCACACAAAAATGTGGCAACAAAAGCCCTCACTACACAGTGACAATGATCCAAATTGACACTCAACCTACAGTCTCTTGGCTGGTACTGACATCATACTGGTGCCACAATAGTAGCAATGACAAAGCCAATGGATGACTAAGTGAGAACCAAAATTTAAATTTTGAACCCGTTTAAAATATGGCTTTTGTAAACGGTAAAATTACAACATAAACTATTAAGATTCACAAAATGCATGACCCCTAATTCACCTGCATTATAAACTACGAAACAGTCAATTTTCATAAGGAGGGGAGGGAAAAAGTTTAAATTAAATGTTTTGAAAAGACAGATGGAAAATTGCTTATAAAATTTACTAAAATATATTTTTTAAACATAATAATATAACATTTACATGAGAAAATTTCACTGAATTTCCCAAAACGACATTTACTACTTAAAAACCTAAAAGTAAATTTTGTCAATCATAAAATCTAAAAAGTCAGTATTAAGAAAATGTCAATATCTTTTAGAAATGCACAATGAAGAAGTGATGCCCAGTGTCTTCTTTAAAATACCTTTAGAAAAACAAGCAAGAAGGAATAGATGAAGCACATGTGGCAGAGTATCATAACTGTTGAAGTATAAGGTTCGTTATAACTATTCCATTCTTGTATATGCTTCAAAATAATTTTTAAAATGCTCACATCCACATCTGGTCTTTTTAGCAAATCTTCCACTTTAGCAACATCTCCATTGGCAGCAGCCTTAACTAATTCTTCATTGAGGTCACCAGATTCTTGGGTTTCAAATAATTTCTTCAAGAGTTGGGAGAGTCTTTCTGTAAAGCATCAAATAAAGCTGCTAATACAGGAGGATCTCAAACCTTAACTGCCAACAGACAAGCATTACCCATATGCCTATAATATATACTTTTCCTTTTTTATTATTTCTATCATTAATATTATTTTTGTACTATGCTACAGATATTACCCATGCATGTTATAATTACTACCATATAAAGCTGCATTAAATTCGAGCCCACAGTTATTCCCAGTTTACTCCAATTCATGTACTTCAAGTTAACATTTCAGAAAAAGAAGAGTTACATACAAACTATAATTCAAGATTTAGGAGTCATACCAAAGATATTATAAATGAACACACTACAATGGGAGTATCATAATGATACAAATTGTCTTTCAGGTCTTAAGTATATCATAATGGACACTCAGAGCTCAATGTTACAGATCTTAGACTAGATCAACAGATCAATGGTTATGTATGATTCAAAAGCAATATAATCTCTATAATGTCTGGGGAAATACTTTAGGAACAAACCACTTTCCAGTTAAAAATGGATCTCTAAGGGTTAATAACATACTTCAAAGGTGCCAATTGATTGGTTTTGACTAAAACAAGAAAGAACCAGAGATGTGTTTACATAAACCCTTTCAATATTTTTTTTCTAAATAGCATTTATCAGTAGCAAATCTACCCAGTTCCACTCCTTAACTCTTGGATCTACTTACTGGAAAGGAAAGAAGTCACAAAGTGGGGCAGAGGCCCAACACCTAGTCCACATTACTTGAGAGAAGGATATTAACCATCCTTCACTCTTTCAATTTGTTAAAAGTAAGCCTACTGTGATGCCATCTAACCTCAAGGTAAAAATAACACCACATGATTTAAACTTCAAATACATTAGCAAATTACAGCAGGAAAGACAAGACAGAAGCAAAGAAGTAGAAAGCAGTACAAAATAAAACTGGAGGTCACCCAATGTTTTCCTTTACTTTCTTACTGTTCACAGTTATGGTTCTATCTTCTTTTCTGGATGACAACAATACACATACAGTAAGCTGTAATTTGCTGTTGAATGAACTGAGTGTGTATATAAAGCGGGAGTGTAAGAAGGAAAGATTTTGGGCATGAGTCTACCCAAGCATCCAGCATACTCACATCTCAACACAGCTTTCTACTCATTGTGGCATGTATATAACTCCTATTAAATGACAAGAGAAAAAGTATAGCTGATATGTAAAAATATCCAGGAAGAAAGCCATCAGCTAGCAATAATATTGGAAATAAAAAGAAAATAAGGTAGTCTAAGAAAGTGATGGTTCTTTAGCAGAAAACATAACTTCCGACTAGGAGTAAGAATGTTGAACTTCAGGTATCTCAGATTTGATGTGGAAAAGCCCTTGATATATCCAAGAAAAAGCACATATTTATGGACCTTTTCCAGGGCATACCTTAGCCAGAACAAAGATTGTTCATCATATGAAAAGAGCAGGAAAAAACCAAAAAACCTTTAGCGAAAGTTTAAAAGATAGTTAATATTCAAGTGAGGTTATGTGATCTAGGAGAAAATCAAGAACACATATGACGTTATCTGTATACAAGAATTGGGGAATTGGGAAAGGTTCTAATGTAAACCATATTACTTTTAGAGAAACATGAAACAAAACATACCACCAGATGCATTGCTAATGGCTGATCCTGCAGATGCCACCTTGGAAACTGCTGCTGGATTATACGTCCAAGATGTTCCACAGACTTCCACCTTTAAATCACTGTCTGAATAAATTTGTTGTACTCGGCCAACTTTACCTAAAGTCTTAAAAAAAATTAGGTTCATGTTTCAAGTCTGAAGTATATACCATAAAAATCAATCACCAAGGGCTTCCCTGGTGGCGCAGTGGTTGAGAGTCTGCCTGCCGATGCAGGGGACACGGGTCAAATAAATCACCAGTTTTTACATATTTAAAGTACTAATTTTACTTCACTCCTAATAAAAAAAACTTTTAAAGGATAATCATATTCAAATGGGTTGTTTATTAGTGACAAACTTTAAAGAATATCTTTTAAAAATATTTTAATAAAACTACATTTCCACAATAATATAAAACAATCATGACAATCTATTTTATTCATAAAAGTTCACAAAATCTTGGTTTCTGATATTCAATCCTTTTTTTCTGTAAATTTATTTTGTAAATTTATTGATTGATTGATTGATTGTTGGCTGTGTTGGGTCTTCATTGCTGCGCATGGGCTTTCTCTAGTTGCGGCAAGCAGAGGCTACTCTTCGTCGTGGTGTGCGGGCTTCTCATTGCGGTGGCTTCTCTTGTTGCGGAGCACAGGCTCTAAGCACGCAGGCTTCAGTAGTTGTGGCACATGGGCTCAGTAGTTGTGGCTTGCGGGCTCTAGAGCACAGACAGGCTCAGTAGTTGTGGCACATGGGCTTAGGTGCTCCACGGCATGTGGGATCTTGTGTCCCCTGCATTGGCAGGCGGATTCTTAACCACTGCACCACCAGGGAAGTCCCCAATCCTTTTTTAACCTCATAAGATACTTCTTGAGAACTTGTAACCCAAGTAATCCAAAACCATTATCAATCTAGCCTAAAAAAAGAAAATCTGATTTCTAAAAAAAGCAATTTAAACCAAAGAGGGCTCAAAGCTTACATCTATGTTTAAATCCTTTTTGGAATCAAGCCTGATTTCAAAACAGAAGTATGTAGAAGTAACATGCTTATTAAATATATGGAGTAAGAAGAACAATTAGGTACGGAATACAACCAGAAGCAGCAGCCCTCACGTGGTAGGTACTGTTCTAAGAGCTTTATAGTATTGACTCACCTAATACATAAAATCCTGAAAGCTATGTAATCTTATTAGCCCCATTTCAAACTCAGTTCCAAAACCCATTCTCTTATGCACAACAGAATAGCCAATAACAACACTAGAAAACTGGTGAAGAGTAGTGATAATATCTGACTATTTCCTAACACAGAGGAGACTGCCCTTGAACTTGTTTTCTATATTGACCTCTCCACAGCATCTGACTCCAACTCTTGAAAATATTCCCTTGATTACTGGATGACAGCCTAATCTTTCTGCCTGTTCCTTCCCTTTTTCCACTCACTGGCTCCTTTTCCTTCTTCAGATTCCTAAGCCTGTTCATTCTCCCAAACTTTATTCCTTGTTTTTTACTCTACTTTCTTGGAAATTTAATCCACTTGACAACTATCGTCTTACTTCCAAAGACTTCAAAATATACTACTCCAGCCCTGTTTACCCCTCTCCTCACCCCAAAACACACACCAATTTTAACTTCTCATTAGACATTTTCACCTGGAATTTTCCACCATCATCTCAAACTCTTTGAGGCTGCACTTTTTTTTTTTCCTCCTTAACTGTTCTTTATGGAAAATCTCAAACACACAAAAATAGACAATTGTATATTGAATCCTGATGTACCCATCAACCAGTTTTAACAATTGTCAGCTCATGGCCAATCTTGTTTTCCCTATCCATTCTCCCCTCTTGTATTATTTTGTCATGTAAACTCTTTAAAAATATAACTTCAATACTATTATCAACCTACCCCAAATTATCAATAACTACAATAAAATAAACTACTAGTCAGTGTTCAAATTTCCGATTGCCTCACAAATGACAATTTTTTTTTAGTTTGTTTAAATCAAGTTCCTAACGAAACCTACACATTTTTTTTCTTTGCAAATTACTTGTTGAAGAAACAGGGTTATTCGTCTTATAAAGATTCATCCAATCTTAATTTTACTAATTGGTGCAGTTTAATAGATTCATCTGTCTTTGTATTTGGTGAGAAACCCTTCGAATTGGCTGCTAGATCTTTTTAACATCCTAGAAATCTTTGATAGCTTCCTTGCTATCTGGTATGAGGCTCATCTTGTTCACTTCCTGCCAAAGAACTAGAATTAGCCATTTCTCCAAAGAGCCCTGATTCTTCACAGAGGGAAAGGCTATTTCGAGACCATAATCTAGGCACTAAGGTTCGTTATTGTTACTGCAATGGTCACTGTTTCCACGCCTTTTCATGGACAGAGCTAGGAAATGGAGGGGAGCACAGTGTGTTTTAAAACAAAGATAAAATAAATCGTGAGTGTAAACACTCTCCCAATTCAAATTCCAGACTACAGGGTCTTTACTTAACCTCTTCTATACTACATCTGCGTCTCCTTTTTACCTCTCTGATAATTCCGGTCCTCAGGGTCACTGGGAATAACAAAATTAGAATTATCATATAACTGCTCATTTGATTTTTTGTCATATTACACACACAACAGTCTCAGAGTAACAATATCAACACTATCACAAACAAATTTATGAAAATTGTTAAATTTTTTTTCATGCAGTTCTGAAGGGCAAAGACCTCCTATAAGGATATAAGGACAAATTACTGTGTTTGGAAATCACTTGGAATTTCCTCTCTGTATGATTATGCCAACAGGAAACACACTTAGGTTCATCTGTGTCATTTTATTCTCCACTTTTGGGAGTTTCCTTTTTGAACTTAATTTTGTTTTCTAATTGTATAAAATACATGTGATTTCAAATCAAATCTATAAAATAAGACATATTCAAAGATGTTTCCCTTCTACCTTTGTCCCCCAATCATATTACCTTTCTATACATGAAAACTTTTTTTTAACTTTATGGTTAATCCTTCCATTGTTTGCTTTTTTAAATATAAAGTTTATATTAAACTTTATATAGTCCCAATTAACAACTAAAATGCAATCAAACAGCTCATTAAACTTACCATATCGTCTCTGCATTCCCAGCCCACTTTCTGACAGTCATACTTTATGTTATTAGAGCATATAACCATTATAAACTCTACCGTTTCCTTTATAACTATCATTTAATCTTAGTTCAATAAATAAATATTTATTTAATGATCACTACCAGTCCTTCAGTTGACATTTCTTCAGTCATTTTGGTTGTCTAAAACTAATTCTCTAATAGATTACTCAGAAAAGGCTCATGGGGACTCAATTCTCTGGATTCTTACATTTCACAGCAGTCTACAGCCTTTACAGTACTTGAAAGTCGGTTTGGTTATATATAAAATCCTTAGCTTACGTTTTCTTTCCTTGAGCACCTTAAATAAATGTTATTTCATTGTTTTCTGGCATAAAACATTGCGATCACATTTTTTTTCTTAACAACAATCTGATTTTCTTTCCTTTATAAGTAACTTGGTCTTTTTTCCTAGATACCCAAAGAATTTTTTCTTTTCTTGAAGATTCTATTATTTTACCAGAATATGGCTCTGTGTTTGGTGTTCTGGATTAGTTTTCCCAGGTATGCAACATGCCCTTTTAATATTTAATTTCAAATCTTTCAATTTCAGGTAAACTTTCCTGGAATTACAAATTTTAGCATTTGTTATATTCCATTACTTTGGTTTCTGTTTTTTCCTTTTTGCAAGGATTCCCTAATACACATATATTAGATATTCTATATTTGTCACTTTCTCTCAAATACATTTTATCTTTTTGATTTTAAAATTTTTCCTCCTTTTTACCTTCTGTTTCTCTTAAGGCATTATCTGTTGTATTTATTTGCTCTATGTTGCTTCTAGCTTATTTCATTTCTGAAATGAATTTTAAAAAATTCTTTCCTAAGTTCTACCTCATTTCTAATTATGACTTATTTCATCCTTTCATGTCTTTTATCATCTTCTTAATTTTTTAGCTCATTTTGAATTATTAGATTTTAGTTTTCTGTGCATATCTTTCTGATGTACTTTCATCTGTCTGTGGAGAAGTTATTCTATTCCTTATTCTCCTTTTTCAATAATAACAGTGCATAGGGATTCAACCATGATCCCTTCCAACTTTTGCCTGGATTTACTCTTTCCTTTGTGCCTACTGTCTCTACCCTACTCAATCTGGCTTCTATTCCCAGCATTTTCTCCTCAATGGAGGGCTCTACCCTGGAAGGGAGATTTGGCTGGTTGGTTTGGAGAGTTTATAGCCCCAGGCTACTCCAGTCCCTTCAGACTTTAGCATGGACCTATTGCTCTCACCCCAAACTGGAGTCTACAAGAGCCCTCCCAGGTTCGGCTGTCGTTATCACATTAATCTACCACACTAACCAATGAATACTCATTAGCTATTCTGGAGTTTCCCCCTTCTCAGGTCCACCTGATGCTCCATTAATTCTCTCTGCTGCCACCCACACAGATGCAGACCCTGTAGCTGTCAATGGTTTATCTTTACTCGTTCACATTTTAAGATTCAAAAGACTATTCTATCACCTGGCTTTGTTACAGATGTTTGTAGCTTTTTCAGTTATGCTAACTAATCTAGTTGTTGACTGTTTTTACCATGAGGATTTGAGAAGATTCAAATCTACATCGTCACTACTGGAATCCCAGTACTGCCCTCTAGAAATTACCTAGAGGTTTTGCTTATACAGCAGCTTAATATTGGAGACAGGCTTTGAAGTAATATAGATTTGGGTTCAAATTCCAGTTCATTATCTTAGTTCTGATTTCCTCATATTTAAAATAAGGATGTCATACCACCACCTACTTATAATATTCCTAAGACAAAGTTTGTATATTTATGTATATATGTGTAAACATATATATAGCATGTGCTGCGTATGTACGTATACATCATTCAGCACAGTGCTCAGTATAACTGGGCACTCAACAGATGGAAGATGCTATAAGGTGTCACTGATAAAGGGAAAAAACAAAAACATCTTGACTATAAAATAATTTTAAATAGTATATATAGCTCCTATAAAATACGTCAAAAAATGACATTTTAAGTAACACCACACTATAGTGAGGCCTGAAGTATATTATATTAATACATTTTTTTAACCAACTTTAATACCAAAAGCAAACAAAACAAAGAGGGATTATATAGAACTCAACTTTTTGGAGAAAATAATGATTCTAAAATATAGTCCTGAAATACAACTATCACTTATTCAATACCTAACTAAAGCAATAAAAAATGTCAGCATCATGTGCAAACTATGAAATGTCTTTGAATGAAAGCACCACCACCAACAGAGATTTTTTTTTTCTGCTGTGTTCACTAGTACATCCCTGAAGGCTAACAGGCACACTGCTTCTGCTAAAACATCTGCTGAAGGACTAAGGCAGGAAGGAGGAATGGACTGATGGAGGGACAGGACATCATGAAGGATAGGAAAGGGGGACTGGACAGGATAGGAGGGGGCAGAGAGCAAATGGGGCAGGAGCTGGGGCTGGACAGGAAGAGAAAAAGGTGTTGACCAGGACAGGGGACTGGACAACACACCAGGGTGGGTTGGGTGTCATATGAAGGGGGTGGGAGGGGAGGTATACATGGGACAGGAAGGAGGTGCTTAAATGGGATGGGACTTGGAAAGACAGGATTTGGAACAGGATGAGACAGGAGCAGGAAGTGGGCAAAGTGTAGAGCTGAAGGGGAGGATATAGCCAGGTGGAAAGGAATAGGATACAGGGCAAGGCAGTAAGGGCAGTTGGCAGGATGGAACAGGTAGTACAAAAGGAAAGAGACAGAAGGACAGAAGCAAGGAAAAGATGGAGAAAGAGAAAGATGAATGAAAAGAGGGCAGAACAAACAAATTATTTTGTTACTGCTGAACATTTGACGAAAAATGTATTGAATGACTAAATAAAAAATTGAACTGTAGCTCTTTGGGAGCAAAGCTATCTCAGAAGGCACACGTTCTGAGCTGCTCTTGCAGTCTTAAGTTTTAGAGAGGCATGCCCCCAAGTGAGAAGAGCGGCGGTGGTCCAGCACTGCTGGTGACTGGATGAGCACGTTGCTCTCATTCTGGGGTGAAGTATCAGGAAGCCTCTTTGCCTCACCCCAACATTACATTCTCCACTAAAAGCTCTATCGAAAAATATTAACTATAGCTCTTCTTTGGACCTTCCCAGGCTAATCTAACTGAAATAAGTTAGAAAATAAAAGGCATACATATGTTAAGCTGCCAATGAAGATTACAATTCTCAAAGCATTATGCTAATTTAGTTTCTAAAATCAAAGTTTTTAAAACTTTTAAAAACTACATAAACATGGTATATTTCCTAGTCCCAAATTATTTTATATGTACTTACTGGGAGCATAGCTTCAGCCCATTCTCCATGTCCTCTCTGTAGAAGTTTAATTCTTTCCAGGTCATAACAAACTTGTACAAGATCACCCACTTGGAACTGTGAGGGGCCTCCTTCTGCACCCTGAGCAGCATCCCCACTTCGGACAATGTTCGCTTTAGTGAGAACAGCAGGATTGAAGGTCCACCTAAAAATCAAAGCCAAAATTCAACATGGGTAAGTTTACTTAATTTTAGCACAAATTCTTAGTTAACCATTATAGGGAAAAAAGCTTTATAACACATCAACAGTGTAAAGCAATCCTTTACAATTACATCCTGAATGATTTGTATTTCTTTTTATGATTTTATTATACAGATTTGGGAAAAGAGTTATCCGTAATCTCACCACCCTAATATGATACACTTCTGCCTAGCACTTCTGTCTAGATTTATTTGCACTTGCATGTCTTATAAAATTGTTATTAAAAAAAAATAACACACTCAAAAAAACAACACACACTCGTTAAAAATTAAAACATTTCATAAACATGTAAAGTAAAAGTGAAAGTTCCATTTCACACAAACACACCTGGATCACCATTCCCCACCCCACTAGACACCACAGTTAATACTCCATTGCATAGCCCTGCAGATCTTCTATTAATATGCACAGTGATGGTTATAAGAGAGTTGTTTTGTTTTCCATAAGTGGGATCATAATATACATATATATATTATTCTGTGACTTCTTTTTTCTCAGAGAATGCATCTTGGAACATTTATTTTTCAATGTGACAGATATAGATCTATTTGTTTTGATTTAATGGCTACAGAGTATTCCATAGCATCAATATAGACAAATGTACTTAGCGATTCTCCTACTGACTATCATTTAAAGTAATTCCACATTTTCACTATTAGTACGAACAATACTATAAAGAACATCCCTGTATGTACAACTTTGTGCACATGGGGGTCAGTATTTCATTAGAGATTCTTAAAGGAACCACCTAATCAAAGTATGTGTTTGTTTACAATTCTGATAGAGCCAAACTGCTCTACAAAGAGTACACTATTTTCCCATACCATTGCAAACTCATGGATAAAAATATTATCTAGTTTTAAATGGCCATGTGTGGGTATCTTACATCCTTGTAATCACTGTATCAAAACAAATTTGGACTCGGATTTCTTCCTTCCTATACGTAAGCATTTTTCTATGCTGCTACCATCTGCACAACCACCATTTATTTTATTGACTACTTAATATCCCATCGAAAAGTTGTACCACAGTGTATATAACACATTTCTCCTAGTCCCATATGGTACTCCAAGGGAAAAAAGGTTCCCTAGTCAAATACACTTTTACAATATGGCATATTATACCCTCCTTTCCTTATTATAATGGTCCTTAGCATATAAAAGGCTCTGAGAGGTCACAACACACAAAACCCTGCTTACTAAATTCCTATAACCATGTAAACTTTCTAAAACAACCACAAAGAGAAAGAAGTGCCTCTGATCAGTTAAGAATAAAACTCAAAAACAAAAAGTTTTCTTTTCAGTCTTATCAGTCATGGTGCCCTTTATTTACCTCACTCCCAAAGTTCCAAAATCTACCAAACCTGTGTAGTGCCCAAACAGTAGTATTTAGTCAAGTTGTTCCTTCTGCCTACAGCGCTTCCTTGCCCAGGTGAAAACCAAATCTTTCAACCTTACTTAACGTAATATGCTCGCTTAAGTTTTCTCGGATTTGCCCAGCTGAAATGACCACTCTTCTTCTGTACCTTCAGAAAAGCCTGAACACCCATCTATCATAACTACTTAAAACATTTTAATACAGCTATTTCTGACTTTGTCTATCCAAATTAATAGAGAAACTCCTTCAAAGCAGAGAACCATGTCTTGTTTGTCTTCGTAATTCTAACACTAATCACAGGGCCTAATACAGGATAAGTATTTAATAAATTGGTGTTGAGTAAAGAATAAGAAAAGATTATTTTCTAGAAGTCAAATGTCATGTTACTAATAACACTACTGCCCAAGAAAGAATTTTGACCAAGGAAGAATTCTGCAAGTAATAATCCTAATCTGTGTTAACCTAACATTTCCAAATAACAAACAAGATACTATTTAAGACAAAATATGCTAGTACATGCTACTCTGAACTTAAATTGTGTTGATTTTTTCCTTCTTTTTTATTAAGAGCTTTATTGAGATGTAGCTCACATATCATACAATTCACTCATTTAAAGCATGTAATTCGGTGGTTTTAGTATATTCAGTTGTGTAAACCAACCACCACTACCTAATTTCATTTTCATTACCACAAAAAGATACCCCCTTAACGATTAGCAGTCACTCTGAATTCACCCCTCTCTCCCCAGCCCCTAACAACCAGTAATATACTTTCTGTTTCTATGGATTTTCTTATTATGGACATTCTGTATAAATAAAATCAGATAACATGTGACCTTTTGTGACTGGCTTCTTTCACTCAACATAATGTTTTCAAGATTTATCTATGTTGCAGCATATGTCAGAACTCCATCCCTTTTTATGGCCACATATAATATTCCATTGGATGGATATATCACATTTTATCCATTCATCAGCTGACAGACATTTGGATTATTTCCACATTTTGGCTGTTACGAATAATACTTCTACAAACATACATGTACAGATTTTTGTATGGGCACGTGGTTTAGTTCTCTTGGGTATGAACCTGGAAGTAGACGTGCTGGGTCATACGGTAACCCTATACATAGCATTTTGAGGAACTACTGAACTGTTTTCCAAAGCATCTAGACCACTTCCCGTACTTACCATCAATGTATGAAGGGTTGGTTCTAATTTCTCTATACCCTCAGCAACACTTGTAATTATCCTACCTTTTTATTCTAGCCATTCTAGCATGTGAAGTGGTATCTCATCATGGTTTTGAACTGCATTTCCCTAATAACTAATAATGTCCTGCATCTCTTCAAGGGTGATATAAAATGAATTGTGCCCCTCCAAATTTCATGTTAAAGCTCTCTAGCTCTTAATGTAACTGTATTTGGAGACTGGGCCTTTAGGGACATAAGTAAGGTTAAATGATGTCATAAAGGTAGGGTGCCATGTGAGAAGGCAATCCTCTACAAGCCAGGAAGAGGTCTCACCAGAAACCAACCCTGATGGCACCTTGTTCTTGGACTTCCAGACTCCAGAACTGAAAAAAATAAACTTCTGTTGTTTAAGCCACCCACTCTGTGGTATTTTGTTAAGGCAGCCCTAGCAGACTAATGCAATGAGTTTATTGGCCATCTCTGTATCTTCTGTGGAAAAATGTCTGTTCAAATCCTTTGCCCATTTTTCAATTAGGTTATTTATCTTTTATTGTTGAATTTTTTTTTTTTTTTTTTTTTTTTGCAGTACGCGGGCCTCTCCCATTGCGGAGCACAGGCTCCAGACGCGCAGGCTCAGCGGCCATGGCTCATGGTCCCAGCCGCTCCGCGGCATGTGGGATCCTCCCGGACCTGGGCACGAACCCATGTCCCCTGCATCGGCAGGCAGACTCTCAACCACTGCACCACGAGGGAAGCCCTATTGTTGAATTTTAAGAGTTCTTTATACTATATTCTAGATGTAAGTCCCTAATCAGACATATGATTTGCAAATATCTTCTCCCATTCCATGGGTTGTCTCTTCACTTTCTTGATAGCTTCCTTTGAAACACAAAAGTTTTAATTTTGATGAAGTCTATTCACTCTTTCTTTGGTTGCTTCTACTTTGGAGGTCACATCTAAGAAACCACTGTCTGATTCAAGGTCATGAAGATTTATGCCTATGCTTTAAGACTTCTATAGTTTTAGCTCTTGCATTTAGATCTGTGATCCTTTTTTTTTTCTTTTTTTTTTTTTTGTGGTATGCAGGCCTCTCACTGTTGTGGCCTCTCCCATTGCGGAGCACAGGCTCCAGATGTGCAGGCCCAGCGGCCATGGCTCACGGGCCCAGCCGCTCCGCGGCATGTGGGATCTTCCCGGACCGGGGCACGAACCCGTGTCCCCTGCATCAGCAGGTGGACTTTCAACCACTGCACCACCAGGGAAGCCCTGTGATCCATTTTGACTTAGTATTTGTACATAGTGTGTAGCAGGGGTCCAATTTCATTCTTTTGCATGTCAATATCCAATTGACTCAGCATCATTTGTTTTTTTTAATTGTAGCTTTATTTTTTAGATTGTTGTATACTTGACATATAACATTAAATTATTAAATTAGATGTACACCACAATGACTGAATATCTGTAAATACTGTCGGCACCGTTTGTTGAAAACACTGCTCTTTCCCCATTGAACTGTGCTGAACCCCTGTCAAAAATCAACTGACTTTAAATGCAAGGGTTTATTTCTGGACTCAGTTCTACTCCATCAATCTACATGCTTATATGTAAGTCAGTAATAGACTGTCTTGATTACTGTAGCTTTGTGGTAAATTTTCAAATTGGGAAGTGTGAGTCCTCCAACTTTGTTCTTCATTTTTTAAACTGTTTTGGCTATTCTGGGTCCCTTGAATTTCCATATGAATTTAAGGTTCAGTTTGCCAATTTCTGTATAAAAAAAAAAGGCAAGGATTTTGATAGGGATTGCACCGAATCTGTTGATTAGTTTGAGGAATACTGTCATATGTTAAATGTTGAATTATTTCCCCCAAAAGATATGCTGAAATGCTAATCCCCAACACCTCTGAATGTGAGCATATTTAGAAACAGGGTGTTTGCAGATGTAATCAAGTTAAAATGAGGTCATATCAGATTAGGATGGGCCCTAAATCCAATGACTGGTGTCCTTATAAGGTCACGTAAAATCATCTTTTGATCATTTTCTATGTAAAAGACTCTAGAATTTCCATGAGTTCAATTAACTTTCTTCTATGCCTCCTTAGGGTTCCTTCCTTATGGATGGCTAAGGTACAAATGTTGGCCTGACGAAACTAAAATAGCAAGCTGGAGGACTGTTGATGTGGCTCTCGGTATCAAATAATCTCCCTACAACTGTTTGAACTTGACTAATCAGAGACTGACTTGAATGAATTTGAACATAAACTATGTACCCCGAAGAAAAAAAAGACGGTCATGTGACAACAGAGGGGCACAGAGACTCACAGGGGACAAGACCATGTGAAGACAGAGGCAGAGAAATGAGTGATGCATCGACAAGCCAAGGAAAGCCAAGGACTGCCAACAACCACCAGAAGCCAGGAGAGAGGCACAGAAGAGATTCTCCCTCAGATCTCCAGAAGAAAACAGTCTTGCCAACATCTTCACTTTGGACTTCTAGCCTCCAGAATTTGAAAGAATAAATTTCTGTTGTAAAGCTGCTGTTTGTGGTAATTTGTTATGGCAACCCTAGGAAACTAATACACCATCTAAACAACATTAAATCTTCTGATCCATAAACATGAAACGTCTTTCCATTTAGGTCATCTTTAATGTCCTTCAACAATGTTATACAGTTTTTGGTATACAAATCTTGTACTTATTGGGCTAAATTTATTCTTAAGTATTTTATTCTTTGTGATGCTACTGAAAATGGAATTGTTCTTTTAATTTCATTTTCAGATTGTTCATTGCTAGTATACAGAAATACAACTGATTTTTCTATACTAATCTTGTATCCTGTGACTATGCTGAATTCATTTATTAGTTCTAATAGTTTTTTTTGTGGATTCTTTAGATTTTTCTATACACAAGATCATGTCACCTGTGAACAGAGAGGGTTTAACTTCTTCCTTTCTCTTATTTCTTTTTCTTGCCTAACTGCCCCGGCTAGACCCTCTAGGACAATATGGAATAAAAGTGAGGAGAGCATTCCTGTTCTGTTCCTGATCTTAAAGGAGAAAGCATTCAGTCTTTCCCACTGAGTACACTGTTAGCTGTGGGTTTTTCATCGATGTCCTTTATCAAGCTGAAGAAGTTCCCTTCTGTTCCTAGTTTACTTAGTATTTTTATCATGAAGGATGTTGGATTTTGGCCAATGCTTTTTGTGTATCTCTTGATATTATCATGTGTATCCTTAAGATTTAAACACAATTAGAGCTAATTCTATAATGTGGTTAGCAACTTAATGTTAATTTTTCTTATTTCATATATAATCCTTCCCCTAAAGAATCTCAGAGAGTTAGTTTCTTTTTGTACATGTCAGTAATAAAGCTTTGACAACTATTCAATTTAACTACCGAATTTTTTCTTTAAAATACTGTAAACATACTAGTAAACTGGATATATTTTGGCTCCTAGGGACAAATAAATAAAAGGCACAGGCCCAGTCTCCAAGAAACACGAAACCCAGACACCAAATAAATAACCATTTTAGTAGATAATAGGAGACCTAAACAGATAAATAGCGTATGCATGTACCAGGGAGGGGGGAAGGAGAGAGGAAGTAAGCATAAAAGTTCAATATTTATAGGAGGCAAAGGAGTTAATCCAGAGAAGGAGGGAGACAAGGAGGAAAGGGTATTCTGCATGGAAGGAGTGGTGTGTGCAAAGGTTACAGAAGTGAGGAAACACATGCAGTGCTGTGTGGCTGATACGCATTAGTGTGTGCACAGGTGTCTGTGGCAAGGGAGAGCTGTGTTACCATGAGATGACGCTGGAGATATGGGCCAGAGGAGTTTTACTGTTATCCCGTTCATTCAGGGTAGACTGATGCAGTCCAACAGAACACAGAACTTTTTAGCTATACTTGCCTAATACTGATACAATGTATTCTGCCCCCTAAAGGAAAAAAAAAGTGCACAGAACATTGAATCATAAATATATTCATATAAATACACACACACACACACACACACACTGTTCTTACTTGTTTCCCTCCACTTTACCAACATATTCTGGATTTTCATCTATTATTGAAGAGTTAGCTGTAAGAAGTCTTTATTATATCACATTATTTGCCTTCTTTAAGGCTCCTTCCTCTATATACTAACTTTATTTGCCATTAATGAAAATTAAAAAATATAACCAACCTATTGCCACTTGGATACTGTACTACAATGTCATGATCTTCATCAATGCCACAAACAGTTCCAGTTGTAGTTAAAGTCTCAAACATGCCATCAGTCCATCCTCCATGACCGTGCTGCAAAGACTGTACAATTTCTAGGTCAAGATCTATATTGACCAGGTCACCAATCTGCAATCCACCAGGATTCCTGTTGCCATTCTGCTCACCTATAATTGCAGAGGGAGTTGACAAAGGAAAAGGAAAATCACAGCAACAACAGGCAACTGCACTGCTTTAAATAAGAAAAAGCCCAGGATATTTGAGTTTTAGTTACTATCTAATCTTAAAATGTTTTGAGAATATACTGTGAGTATCAAATTCTAGAATTAGAGAGCTTTAAAAAAAGAAAGAAAAGAAAACAGACTCAAAACCAGAAATAATGTAATGATTTACAACAATGACTGAACAGCGGCAGAATCTACAGAAGACTAGGCAACCATCTATCAGAACACAAAGTTCTGGGCATTGACAATATGCACCTTTCTGCCTGGATGACTTGCTGAAGAGCCAACATAACTAACTAAAGTATATGAAACAGAACCCTGGAATTTTTTTTCCTCTGAAGTGCTTACCGTTATTAGTTACCAAATAGTTCTTGTGATTTTTGCCTAAAGAGCATTTTCAAATATTTCAAAGCCCATTTCTGAGATTATTTTCAAAACTACTTCTGGGATAAAGGATTCATGATCGTAAGATGCTATGCTGAGGGATCTGAAATGGGTCTGCTGATTCTACACTTTCCTTGTAAAGCCCAGATACAAAACAAAGTTTCTGAAAGCAAGAGAAAGAGATGATCTCCTCAAAACCGTAAGATTTTCTTCTACATTCTCCTTTTTAAAAAAAGTATGTATGCTGGAAGAGAACAGTGCTTTGGGGCAATAAGGCAAATCAAATGATTTGGAAAGAGGAACAGAGCGTTCACATGAGAAAGGAAAGCATTCAGAGACTAAAGGTTTAATCAGAAGAATGTGGTAAATGTTCATCTTGCCAACAATGAAGAATATATAAAATGAAACCAGTTTTGGTTTTCTTGTTCTTTTTTTATTTTAATGATACATGAAATTATATTTATCATATTATCTTAATCTTAGAGCTGTTCTTATATTTTCAAAGAAATTTTACAGAAATTCTAAGGAATTTCTGGGACCTAAATTGTTAGGTCCTATTCTCAGTAGTATAAGAGATATAACATTGATCATATAACACAAAATTTTTCAACAATATAAGTTTATGGTTAAAAGACAAAAGTTTCAAATATAGTATGCCATATAAATGGTATATCAATTATCAAGTCATGACAATTCTTTCAGAGTTTAAATAAATTAAAAAGAACAAATGCTTTAAAACAAAATAAAACCAAAGGAGTATGCCTTTAAAAAGCTTTAATGGTAACTAATTTTTTTAAAGCCCAATTTAAACACTTTTCTGATTCCATGAACTCTGACCCATTATTTAGAAATTTTCTCTAGCCTGCTAACTCACCTAGCACAGGACAATGATCTCTGTAGAAAGAACCTCCTTTGGCATCCTGGACACACTTCAGGTCAGACTAAGAAAAAGAAAAGAAAGCAGAAAAATCACCCTTGAAAACTTCAACTACAGCTTAAAACCTAAAATACGCAAAAATGTTCATTTAGAACATATCCTCAGCAGAAGTGAAGAGTAGCTCTCAGTTAATAGTCACACTAAACATTGCTTTCAAAAACACCCATCAAAAACTATAAACTTGACCTGCAGATAGGTCACACTTTAAGATTTCTTTTAAACTTCAACATTAAAATGTCTGGATCTTTACCATTATCATACTTTCAAAAACACATGCTGGAAAAAAAGAACTAAAACAAAAATCTCATATTTCAAAAGTACATAACATATTCCATTTTAAAGATATTTTTACCAAAAAAGAGCTCAACTCATTTGATCTTTCTAATCAATTTTATGAGATATACAAGGCAGGTATTGTATAAAGGAAATTAGCCAAAACTAAATAGTCAGAAAGTAGAAAAGGAAAGAACCAAATCCAGTCTTTTGATTCCTTGTCCAGTTAATTTCCTATTTATATCACTTTTAGTCCTTACTTTACCATAACTTCGTTAACTCAAGTTCCTTCCCACTTAGCTTTTATAAGAAAGTATTTAAGTATCTGAATGGGGAGGCAGCTGTGGTATAATGAAAAGTACAGGAAATGTGAACTTAGAAGAGCAACCTTGAGGGTGACTGAAAATTCAGAAATAGATTACCTAAAAGTGCCTAACAGTACCATATACATGTATAAAGTGATCAGTACATGCATACTATATTAAGGAAAGGAGCTCCTTTATACAGACACATACACACACAAACACACCCCAACCCAACTCTCTTTTACAGCCTCCTTTGCCACTATAGCTCACATTTAGTTCAATCCTAGCCAAAGAGACATGGGTCAAGCAGTTTTAATGTGATACTTTAACCCAGTGGTTCCACTTCTAGGAATCTATCTTAAGAAAATATACCCATAAATGTATAAAGACATATGCACAAGGACGCTTACTGAAACACTGTTTGCAACAATGAAAAAAAACAAAAAAAAAACCCAGATACCCATCAACAGAAATCTCATTATATAAACAATGGCATAACCATATAATGGAATACTACTCAGCCATCAAAAAAGAATGGGATCAATCTATATGTATCCTACTCACTAAGTACCTGAGCGCACACAGCATGTAAAGCTTCATTTGAAGCAAGTTAACAATCAGTTGGAATTCTACAAAAATCCCCAATTTAAAAACAGGGAGAGGCATGAAGATAATAATGAAAAACTAATGACCAATGCTATATACAATTGTAAAAATTGGCGAGTAAACTACCTGTTGAGATTCACAAGGCTCGCTTTTATGTATAAAAGGAACAGATTAAGGCAAAGGGACAGTGGGATATTTTTTCCCCTCCTAATGAGCATAAGAGTTGGAAAAAAAATGAAATTTTAGAATTTTTTGAATGAAAAATGTATTCAAGGTGGAAAGGATATAAAAGGCATTAATATTTTAGCATTAGTATAATATTTAATTACACTCTATAAATTAAATAGCTGAGGTCAACATTTGAACAATGATCCATGACATGCAGAAATATAGGACAATCCATTGAATAAACTACCATTATGCTCCTTAAGCACTTAAGTAATTCAAAGTGCTTCTAGGTCAGTCATTTTCAATCATCAACACTACACTTTAAAAATACAGAGGAGGGCTTCCCTCGTGGCGCAGTGGATGAGAGTCCGCCTGCCGATGCAGGGGACACGGGTTCGTGCCCTGGTCTGGGAAGATCCCACATGCCACGGAGTGGCTGGCCCGTGAGCCATGGCTGCTAAGCCTGTGTGTCCGGAGCCTGTGCTCCGCAACGGGAGAGGCCACAACAGTAAGAGGCTCACGTACCGCAAAAAATAATAATAATTAAAAAAATAAAAATACAGAGGAAAAAACTCCTTAAAAAATAATTTTAACACCTATTGTATTAAATTCTCACTTTACAGATGTTCCCTCCAATTGCATACTCATGATTCAGATGGCTGTATTCTGACAAAAGGAGATGACAAAAGAAAAAATGGAAGAATACAATAAGGGCTATTTTTACTTCCCTTCTTTCAACCGTCAATATTTTCAGCTTTTGTGGTTCTTACACTTACCATGCCCTCAAAGCCAACTCTGTAAAGGTTCTTAGCACCATTGTCCCAGAGAACGTAGGCCGCACTATGTGGGCTTGATGCACTCCAGTCTTGGATTTCTGTTACCTAAGGGAAATTTTTGAGGAAAAAAAAAATTTTGAAAGAGGAGAGGAGAGGTTGGTTCTTTTAATTATATTTAAATCTTTAAAAATATTTCAGCTACAATCCTGTGTAACAGGATCATGAAAAATACTTATTTACCAAATATATGTCACTTCTAACATATAACTGAATTATACAATTTTCCAGAATATTATAACCTAATTTCTAAAACCACTGTAGAAATTTTAAATACAGAAGCTTAGTGATTATTACAGTGATGAATTATCAGAAAATATATAATTCAATACAAAATTTAAAATCTTCACTCTTAAAGGATTCCCTCTAACAACAGTGTATTCTTTTAAACCTATTCTTTGATACAAAATTTAAAATCTTTGACCAAATACCCTGAAAAATTCAAGGTAAACCCGCTCTCTGGTCAGCTAAACGCTGATAGGCATGAGGCTCAAAGGCCAAGTTTAAAGAAGACTTGCGTGACTTGGCTCCTCCAGCAGCACCCCTCAGTTGTCCCAAAAAGCAGGCCATCTAAGCTGAAACATCATGACTGCAGTGGAGACCCAGACACAATCTCTAGGCCCCACATGCCAGCAGGCTGATTAGTAAGAGCGTTTAATACTTAAAAAAAAAAAAAAAATACTGGAGTTGCTATTGCTTAAGGGCTAATAATCAACTACACAAAACTGACGCACAACGAGCACTAAACTTGGGTATTCTCAAGTGAACCAGTCTACAGCTCAGAATGGGAAGTCGCACATGCGCAACTCATTACTCTTCTCCACCCTGACACTTATAATCAACCACGCTACATAGTTACTTAGAATGCCAGGCTGATGTTAAATGTAATTTTTAAGGCATGCCCTTAAAAACAGACTATTTCAAATAAGATACATAATACCATTTAATTTTCACCCTGTACTAAAGAAATAGTTTTGCAAGATACGTATTTTATGGTGCTTTTGTAGAGATAAAAAGTTCTTATGCTTAAAATTTAATCAAATATTTGAGCAATATTTCAAATTGTTAGTAAATGAGTCTATCTATTCTTTTTAATTTTTTTTTTTTTAAAGGCCGAACAGTGCAGCATGCAGGATCTTAGTTCCCCGACCAGGGATCAAACCCATACCCCCTGCACTGGGAGCGTAGAGTCTTAACCACTGGGCTGCCAAAGAGTCCCTATTCTTTTTAATTTTAAAATAAATTATACATTATAAAAATATATCATATGTAAATTTTAAAGAATAAAAAACAAAATGAACATCAGACTAAGAAAAAGAATATTACCAGTACTTTTCAATTCCCTTGCATGCCTCTCATCAATCCCACCCTCCTGCCTTCCAACAGAGGTAACTACCATCCTGAATGCAGAGTCCATCACTGCCATGCTTTGCTTTCTGATTTTCACAACAAACCACTGTATAACCTTCCAAAGCAAGAGTTTCTAACACTCTAAAGTGAAACATGCAATTTTTAGCAAAAAAAATCCCTTCTGATTCTAATATAGTCAGATTCTATTTCGTTCATTTTTAAAAATACAATGCTAGATTAAATAACTCTGTTTTTATGAGAGGGACAAAAAAGCATGTGACCAACTAAAAAACAAAGACTACAAACTTTAAATCAAATTCATCCTAAATTTCAAATTACTTGGGATATAAGCAAATTCATTACTCAAGCTCTGAATCACTATATGAAATTCCTTCATTTGTTAATATGATTTGGTTAATCAAGGAGGAAAGTGGAAGGCATAAGAAAATAACTATATTAATTTCATACTTTCAATTCTGATTAAGAAATATGTGTGGAATGGCTGCTAAAACCATTAGGTAAAAGGTTGCTGAGAAACTCTGTAAAGGATCAAACTGACAATACCTGCACTGATCAATCTTAACGTCACCAATAGTAGGATAATCAAACTTTATATGCCTCCTGATGTGATGCAATGAAAAGTACACACACAACTGATGAGGTACTCTTGACAAAAAAACCTGAACCTGAACCTGAATCTAATCATGTCTCTACACCTAACACCTAGTTTATAAGAATACAAGGGTCAGAGGAAGAAGTTCAAGAATATCATGAAGAATCAATCAGCCAAATCCAAAGAACCTTGATTTCTTCAACAAATAAATAGCATTTTTTTAAATGTTGATAATTTTTGAAGTTGGATGTTGAGTGCATGGGAATTTGTTATACTACTCTTCCTATTCTGGTGTATGTTTGAAATTCTCCATAATAAAGTTTTTTAAAAAGAAGAAAATATATCTAGCGTACCTGTATGAAATAATCAACATATATTTGAAAGCATTTGCAAAATGAAAACAGTCGTGAAATACTAACGTAGGTAGTTAAGAATACACTACACACTTCCATGATGACCTTACATCATGCTTGCCAAAGCCATGGTGCAAAGCAAAAAACCATGGTACATGACACATGGTAGGCCATAGATTGTATCAGTATTACAACAACAGCCTAGGTTGGTTTATACCCCTTAATATGGCTCATACTAGCCATATTGTTGAGAACATGTAGTAATGAGAATGGGGTGGGAATCTTGAACTCTCAAGGGAAAAAAAAGATAAAAAAAGAGGATTGGGACAGAGCAGCCAGTACTGAAGACTGGCCAGCACAGGAAGGCTTAAAAACTTTCTTCATTCACACACATGGTCAAAAAGAGTCAGACAAAAATTACATTTCATCTCAAACATGTGCTTAAATAATGTTACCCTGAAGACTTCCTATGATATTAAGTTCCCTCACTTAGAGTCACATGTGTAAGATGGTTTCATTTACTTTTCATTTTGTTCTTAAAATGTAACAAGTATTAAATCATAACAAACCAAAAATGTAATACTGATGACTCAAAGCTTCAAGAATGCCTACTTTTCATCCCCCTAAGAAGTGCCAATATAACAAAAATCCAGAAAGTTCCATTTATGTGGCTTCAGACTAGCTGCAGCTGCTTTTGAAAAGCTGATGAAAAATAATTTTTTCCAACCCTCTGACCATAAAATTACACGTGAGGAAGAATATAAAGTTAAAAACAATTTTAGAATGCAAGTATTAAAAAATTTACTTCTTGTGCACTCTTGCAAAAGACATTACTAGAACGTGTACACCACCAAAGGAAAGAGTAAGCTAAGTAAGATGATGTAATGGGATACAAAAAACATGGGATCCGGGTTTCCCTGGTGGCGCAGTGGTTAAGAATCCGCCTGCCAATGCAGGGGACATGGGTTTGAGCCCTGGTCCAGGAAGATCCCAGATACCGCGGAGCAACTAAGCCCATGCACCACAACTACTGAGCCTGTGCTCTAGAGCCCACGAGCCACAACTATTGAGCCCGTGTGCCACAACTACTAAGCCTGCGTGCCACAACTACTAAGCCCGCGTGCCACAACTACTGAAGCCCATGTGCCTAGAGCCCGAGCTCCACAACAAGAGAAGCCACCACAATGAGAAGCCTGTGCACCACAACGAAGAGTAGCCCCCGCTTGCCACAACTAGAGAAAGTGCGCATGCAGCAACGAAGACCCAATGCAGCCAAAAATAAATAAATTAAATAAATAAAAAAATTTTTAAATGCTTAAAAAAGAAAAGAAAACATGGGATCCAGCCAGGAAAGAGGCAAGGGCATCCATCAAAGGGAGCTGCCAGGATGACTGCTGGGTACCAGGCATCAAGGGCAATCTGTCTGAACTGTAGCCAAGTGATTCACAGGCCAGACATGCTGAAGGCTCTTATCACCCAGATGCCCACTGCCATTGCACCATTTTATCAACCTAAGGTCACACTGCCTGAGTGAGTCTGACCCAAATTCTCCACTGTACTTTGCTTGCTGGACTATGTAATGATGAGGTTCCCACTCTCCCCTCCACCCCCCATTCTCTGCCACCTAAATCAACTGAGGTCTCTCATCTTACCCCACAGAATATTCTGCTTTGACCCACTCCTAAAACTTTGAGGTGGACCACGGTAACCTTAGAAGCAAAAAATGCATAGTAACTCATGTCCTCTGACCATATTCCTGTCCAGTGTCCTGCACTTGGCCCATACTTCTGCCTTGCCTGATGTCCCGACCATGCTGATCCCTGTGTTTCCCAGGACTCACTAATGAGTTCTTTCAGGGCTTGCAATTGGGAAAGGGTAAACAGAAGGCTTTTAAAGGTATTCATAACATTCTATTTTTTAATCTGTAGAGTAGGAAAAAAAGTTTGCTTCTAAAACTTTTATTACTATTCTTTAAGCTTTAACATACAATTTATACGTCCTATGTGACACAGGATTGCTATGATTACAGAAATTGTTAACTGCACAAAGGGCCTTGCCAAGGAGGAGAACAGAGGCTGACCTCCAGCCTGAGCTCCTCTTACCAAGACCTTATGCACGGGGACAAGGCTGTTCCTGTGTCCACGCTCAAAGGGGTACCTTTTCTCTACCACTGGCTTGCCAAGCATGTCCCCACATCACTCCATCCATCCAGAGGTGGTGCCTTTCCCAAATTCACACTGGTCTATTTTTCTTTTTAGAAATGTGCTTCTCAAACTTTAATGTACACCTGAATGACTTAGAGCTCTTGTTAAAATGAAGATCCTGGGGCTTCCCTGGTGGCACAGTGGTTGACAGTCCACCTGCCGATGCAGGGGACACGGGTTCGTGCCCCTGTCCGGGAAGATCCCACATGTCGCGGAGCGTCTAGGCCCACGAGCCATAGCCGCTGGGCCTGCGCGTCCGGAGCCTGTGCTCCCCAATGAGAGAGGCCCATGTACCGCAAAAAAAAAAAAGAAAAAAAGAAAAAATGAAGATCCTAATTTAAAAAGTCTAGGAGGAAGGGGACCCATTACCTATTATACTTCTAACAAGCTTTCAGGTGACACCAATGCTGCTGGTCAACAGGCCACACTATAGTCACAGAATTTAGATTTATATTTCTGGTTGTCCATCTCCCCTAATTAGAATATAGGTTTCAGAAGAGTAGGAATTTTGCCTCTTTTGTTTATTCCCATAACCCTCATGCTTGGAACAGAATCCTTCACCTAAGTGTTCAATAAATATTTACTAAATTAAAAAAAAAAACAAACATTGCTTCCTTAATAAAAATCAAAGTACTTAAAACATATAGGCCAAAATAGTTCTGTCTGACTTCCGAACGTTAAAATTAGACCTTATTACTTGAAATTAAATCAATATAACAATACTCTGAATTTAGAAAACATCTATCTGACAAAATGTTTAAAAATCTCAAATTCAAAAGAATCTGTATAGCACCAAGTTGTACAAAAGAGGCTTTCGAGTTCCTAGGAAGAGTTCCTCAGATGACAGAGACTCTAAAATCATCATTCCTTAATGCTAAAAACAATATTTTAAAGAAGGTAACAGAACTGATACTGACTTCAAAATCTCAAACGTGAAATGCTGTTCATTTCAGTACATCTAGCAAAACACAGAGAATACACATTTAACATGTGACTGACTGAATCAACAAATGCATCATCAGCAAAAGCAACATGAAACCCAAATAAGTAAAACCAACAACCCATTCACCCTAATATCTCTGGCTACCCCAGCCCGTTAAAGAGGCTGTACAAAATTCCCTTCAGAATAACTGCTATAACTGACCCCTAGACAGCTCTACACGCCTCCTGAGAAGGGTAAGGAGTTAAGTGGACTGAATAACAAAGTAGCTGCCTATTACCCCTCAGAAACAGACCTTTGGGGGAATGGAATATAAAACAAGTACATTCAAATGAAGTTTTAATAACAAGAAAATCAAGAGCATGAGATACTGCTTAGGGAGGACTAGCCCAAACAGGATGTTCAGAAAGGCATTCTGGGCAACAAAACGGCCACACGAAGCCTGAAAGTGGAAAGGTAAAATCTACCCCACAACCTTCTCACAGAACGCCAATATGTACAACAGAGCAGGAACAATCTTTTTTCTTCCGGGGGAAAAAAAATGAAAACTTAAGAAACTGTTATTGGCATTAAAAAAATGGGCCAAGAAATTCAACTACAGTAGTTATAAAATCTACTGAATATACAATATTCTAGAATAACATGATGAATCAAAAACAATTTTTACCTTTCCCCTACGTCCATTTCCTCCATCCTGATCTTCCCACTGCCAGTCCACTCCTCGTACCACTCTGGCACCTGCAAAGATCCCTCTGGCTGTAATCTTCTTAGATTTTCTACGAGACTCTAACAGAACCCTAAAAAAAGTATTTATTTTCAAATTTATATAAAAATAGGTAACAGCAGTTTATTTTTTAAAATAAGATTATAAAAAAGGTTATTCTGAAAATATAAAAGATTTTTCTTTGTTCTGGTTAATACCATAACAGCACGGTACAGGAACACTTTCCATGTTACACAGGTTATGATGATGAAGACATTAGTAGTTGGAATAATAATAATAACGGCTAATATTTACTTAGCTTTTCCTATACATAAAAGCACTTATGTATAGTGCTTTTATACATAAGTGATGAAGATGAAGGTATTACTATTCATTTTACCAATGAGGAAACTAAGTCCCAAAGAGGTAAGTAATTTGCCCAAGGTCACAAAAGTTAAATTGGAATGGAATCAACACATGAATCCAGTCTAACCACTTCAGGGTATCACCACACTCTTCACTACTTTAGAGATGGCAAATTCAAAACCCTACAACTGTCAGGCAAGTACTACAAATGAGGGCCTAAGAAAGACAGCACCACAGCAATGACAAATGGTAAATGGCACTTGACCTCAGGCTGGGGAAAACAATAGGGAGTGGGAGGGACTTTGGTGAACTCCAGAGTATGATTTGTCTAAAGGGTACAGGTGTTCCTGTGCTTCAGCCAACTCCTGCCAGGAAAAAATGCAGAACCTGTGTTGACAGTCTTTGGAGCATGGGGGAACAGAATAGGGTTAGAATTCATAAACCTGATTTTTCTGTGAAATCACCCGGTTTTAAAAGGTCAGCAATTGTTCAAAAATTTAGATCACTGTGTAAGTCAAGTAAAATACATCTGTGGCCTGGATCCGACCTACACTAAACTGTCTCTAAAGCAGTGTATACCTACAAGAGACTACAGACCTTGAAAAAGATTCTATACTCAACTCTCTAGACAAGCATGGTTTTCCAAGGCCTTCTATCCCTTATTCTTCTACATCCTTCTCATTCCTAAAAATCAGAAAGATTCGGGGTTTTTTCTTCTGCTCTGCTTTTATCTCATTATTCTATTCATTTTCAGAATATCTTTACTACACCCTAACTTTAAAAATTGTAAGCAAAAGACAAAAATAAATAATCTGTTGAAAGTTACTCACTTAATAAATGGCAGGACCAGGATCTGAACCAGGACAGTCTGACACAAAAATCCATTTTCCTATTACTCCTGCTGCCTCCTTGTCACTGACTTGATTCTTGCTCCTATGCATTAGTCATAGCTACATAAGAATACTCAATCACCTGAAACTCTGTACCCATACACAATTAACACCCTTCTCTCTTTGCTCCTAAGACACTTAATACACATCTCTATATACAGTCTGAAACATCACATGATAATCACTGTTGATCAAATAATACCTTAATTCGTAAACTCCTTAAGAATAACACGTCTTATTAATCTTCAAATTTACACAAGTATAGTCAATGCTCTGTAGTCTTAATAAATGTCTCTTGATTCAATAAATGGGCTCTAGTGTTCACAAGATAGAATACATACAGAGAAAACAATCAGCCTCCCTTGGGCCACCCTTTCATTTCCAAACACTGAGCAGCGCCAAGTCTCTACACTAGAGAAAGAACAGCTCAGATTATCCTGGAAAAATACATGTATCTCTATCTTCACAGAGCTCTTTTCTCGCTATGTGGTAGGCCTGGTCCACATCTAGCCTGGTAATTGCTACTTCTTGACTAAACCAGCTGTCAGAAGCCATTTCCTGATCCTATTTTTAACACTGAATGGTATAAAAAATTCAACAGAAACAAGGAATTGCAATTGAAAAAAATAATGGATTGCCATACCGCTCACTTCCTGGTGTAGTAATTCTATAAAAGCGATGCCTTAAATGATGTTTATCTCCATGATAACAAACTGTGCACAAATCATAATTTGTACACTCTGCACATTTCCATCGAATGCCAATGATTGGTTGCTGGCGGCAAGTATCACACATGGTTCCATCATGCTTGATGCCTATTAAAACAAGGATACAGGCTTACATTAATTACAAGTATTATTTATTTGAATATTATTCCCTAAGGGAAAAAATAAGAACACAGCATTTTACAAAATAGTTCAATAAAGCAAGAAATAATATTTCAAATGTACCATATATAGTTTCAAGATAACAGATTGCAAATATTTTAACCAGTACAAATTATAGACTAAATATTTTCTATCCCTTCTTTTTTCATTAGTAAGAACACTTTTCAGTAGCACTTTCCTTGCTCTCATCCACAAACTGAAATTTAGGTTCAATCCAGAGAAAGAAAGAAGAATCCTTTATCACCAAGTAGATGTTTCAGACTTCAAACACACAAAAATCTTTTGAGGAATGTGAACCTATTCTCCAGGTAAAAATTCCAAAAGAAAAGATAGTTTTATCCTCATGATATCAGAAACAAACTATCAATTAACTTTAGCATTTATCCCTATGTATTGACAACCTTTTCCCCATCAACAGTAAACTTTAGACAATGATTAGCAAGCAAGTTTCCCAGTTTGGGAAACAAACTTGAGTTTGTCGTGGGTTTTCTTTTTTCCTTAAAGAACAAGAAGAAATTAACACTAGAAAAAGAAAACAAGCACTTGGTAATATAACCTATACTAAAAATGTTCACATGGATAGATGAGATACATGTTAGAACTATAAAAGTACCACTATAAATTAATGAAAATAACTGACATTGTAGGGTAATAAGATTGAGGATTAGTGTTCCTTTACTATTCTACTAAGATCACTTGTTCAATAAATTAAAACTAGGAGTTTTTTAAAACAATGTGTGGCCTGTGAACATCAGTGTCACTATTTCATGACACATGCTGTATGGTCATGCCCAATGTTGAACTACAAACAAGGGCTAAATTGTCTGTACAATACTGACACGCCCCTAGATCAAGTTCTGGCTCTGTCAATAGCTATCTCTGTGTCCATGAAAAAGTCATTTTAACTGAAGTACTTACATATAAAACAACGGTATTTATTTCAAAATAATTGGTGGAGAGGGAGGGGAAGTAAGGTGCGTTTAGATGAAACAAGATTGCTCGTGTTGAAGTTGGGTAACAGGTAACATGGGGGTTCATTATACTATTCTCTATTTTGTATAAGTTTAGAGATGTTCAATAATTAAATAAAAGAAATGAGTCATTTTAGTTCTCAGAACTTCAACTTCCTTTGGAGAAGGTAATATGTTCTTTAAAGGAAAGGTATGTTCTAAGAATAAAATGAGAATGTGAAGTACAGGCAAGAACTAGAATACAACAGTAGCAATACTGTAGCTAAACTCTGCAAGAACTAATACACTGTTGCTACTTCCTGGTAAGGGGGAAAATCCTACATAATTCATTTTCTATATCCCGGTTTAAAATCCCTATGAGTAAGGAAACCAGATTCTAAATAAAGTGCCCTAGCTGAGATGGTTAAGAAGAAAAAAGGGAGGGAGGGAAGGAGGAAGAATGAACACTGAAAGGAAGCTGGGGGCTTCCCTGGTGGTGCAGTGGTTGAGAGTCCGCCTGCTGATGCAGGGGATACAGGTTCGTGCCCCGGTCTGGGAGGATCCCACATGCCGCGGAGCGGCCAGGCCCGTGAGCCATGGCCACTGAGCCATGGCCGCTGAGCCTGCGCGTCAGGAGCCTGTGCTCCGCAACGGGAGAGGCCACAGCAATGAGAGGCCCGCGTACCGCAAAAAAAAAAAAAAAAAAAAAAAAAAAGGAAGCTGGGATGTCTAGTAAACTACAAAAGAGCATGACACCAACACCAAATATGTTTTATGTGCAATCGTTCTGCAGTCTCCTACCACACAAATGCCTGGCTGTAGAGACAGAGAAAACAGCAGACATCAGTACCTACTGATTCATTCAGTATTTCTTTACTGCTACTGTGGGCAGGCCTTCTGCTGCTTTCAAATATCACTCTTGCTATGGTAGGAAGAACAGAAAGGAAGAAAATAAAAGGGGCTAGAGAAACAAAGTCAAGTACTAAGAAGCTTACACAGTAGTCCAGGTAAGATAATGGCAGTTTAAGCCAGGGTGATGACAGTGGAAGTGGAGAGAAAAAGAGTCAAGAGAGATTTAGGTCTCGGTGGCTATGGGTTAGAAAATAAAAGATGTAGAAGGTAACAAAAAAACAAAAAAAGTATAAATAAGATCACTAAAGAGAATACAAATAAATAAGTATTAGAGATATTTAGGAACAAACAGCACGATAAACTGAAACCTAGAACTGCTCCCTTAAAAAACAGAAAAGGAGCCACCAACAAAAACATAAATAAGCACATGCTTATCAAATAATACAAGCTCAGGGCTCCACTGAGAAACTCATTCAAGAAACTAAATCAAAAAAAAACAAAAACAAAAAGAGTCAGGAAACGTTTTTTAGAAATGGTGGATGAGTAGACCTTTCAAAGGAAGAAAGAAACCTCAGAAGAGCACAGAGTATGTTCAATGAACCAGGAGCAGCTTTATTTGTTTGGCAGGATTATGAAATATAGTCAGAGACTTAGAGATAAACTTTATAAGGTCATGCTGGGAGATAATAAGATAAAACATAATCTCTGATCTGTATATTTAAATTGTTGCATTAAATGGGGAAAACAAAGGTATGCGATTTCAGAAACTACTCACATAACTTACTGGCTAGGTAATGTTCAGAATCAAGCTTTTGAAACTACTCTCATCTGTAAATTGAGAAAATACTTCCCTTCATAGATGTTATGGACTGGGAGGTTCCCCCCACAATCCCTAACCTCCAATGTGATGATATTTGGAGGTAAGGCCTTTGGGAGGTAATTAGGTTTAGATGAGGCAATGAGGGTGGGACTCCCATGATGGGATTAGTGTCTTTCTAAGGAGAGGAGGAGAGACCAAAGATGTCTCTCTCTCTCTTTTTCTGTCATGTGAAAACAAAGCAAGAAGGCAGCTATCTACAAGCCAAGGAGAGAGCCCTCAATAGGGAAGTGGCCACCCCCGTGAACTTGGACTACCCAGCCTCTAGAACTGTGAGAAATAAATTCCTATTGTTTAAATCACCCAGTCTGTGGTAGATTATTATGGCATCCCAAGCAGACTAAGACAATATGGAAAGGGACACTGTGAAGCTAAAGTGATATAATAGAGGTAAACATACTCTGAAAGGCGTTAGGATAAAAGGTAAGTATAAAGAATTACACTGCAATTAATTTAATCTTAATATAGATATATTAAATGTACTAGTCATTTAAATAATTTAATGATCAAAGTCATCACATACTCCAGGCAAATTCAGCAATACTTATACAAAAATTAAAGAACTCAATAAATTTCTCAATTTCCCAGAGACTGCATACAGAAAATATTCAATTATTCATGTGTGGATTACCCCCATTTTATTTTAGCAAATTACCCGCCCTCTCCATTTGCTAATTACTCTTTTATCTCAGGTTTCCCCCCAAAGTTTGTGGTTTCCCTGCAGCTGTACCTGTCCCCTCTGTTCCTTTGTTTTCACTCCATAACAGCAACAGAGGACACAACTGCCATGTGAGACAGTCCTACACAAGAGTAGTTCATCCACTACTTCTCATTCTAGCCTATGGCTAATTCTGACTGCATCAATCATGAAAATTATCATCAGCCATAGGCCCAAAAGAAATTATACTCTAGTCTAACAGACTGTAAACTAAAATTAAAAACCAAATTAAAAAAAAAAAAATTTTATAGCTGCACAACTCAGAGCTACCAGCGTTCACTAGTATTGCATGCTTCAGTCTTTTACAATATAAATCAAAAGGCCAAATCTATTCTTCCTTTTGGGGTGTATAAATGAATACACAGAAAAGGATTTGTTTGGTGTTTTTCAATCACAGAAGGATTTTTCTTTTTTAAGTACCAAATAATCCATAACCTGGCTAATCATCCCATGGGTTACTAAGAATTTGCTATATTTTGCTTTAAATCAATATATAACCATTCCTTATAATGTTCACTTTGAAAACATAATTTTGTAATTATTCCTGATATTATCTCCCAACACAAATAGCAAAAGTCTACAAAGTTAAAAAAGAAATTATCCTAGCTCACATAAAGATATTTTTTAAGGTAAATTCTAAAACCTATCAACAGACAAAGATTTTGAAGAACTGTCATAATTGTCTGATGCAAGCCTACTAAAATGAATTTAAAATTTTCATAAAATTGCACTTTTTAATAAGAAATGGCAAGAATCACAATATGAGGTTTTTTTAAATTCATCAATTTAAATACTGAAATACAGGTACACCCCTGCTTTATTTATGCATTTTACATCAGGCACATTCCTGAAAAACTGAGTGTATACTTAAAATGGAGGAAAGACGTGGCAGATTGTATTTTCCAAAGAAAGCCTCACCGATCTATATCCACCCCAAGTGCTCTTCTGACAAGAGGACAATGAATGACAAGTGGCCATCAAGAGGCGGGTCTGTTTTCCTCCCCACTGATCCTGGGGGGACATCTGCAACTGCCTTGGTTAATAGAAGGTGGCAGAAGTGACACCATATGACTTCTGTGCCACCTGTCTGTCCATGTCTCTCTCTCCCCCTCAGGATTCATGCCCCCACATGCCTTGGCAGTTCTTTCATACTAAGTCTGGCTACCCTGAAGCTGCCACAGAGAGACCACTTGGCGAGGCCATAAAGAGGTATAAAGAGATGCCCGAGGAAACCTGGCTGTGCAGCCCCTCCACTGTTTGACTCTCCTAGCTGGGGCCCTAGATACTGTGGAGCAGAGGCAAGCCATTCCCCACTGAGCCTCTCCAAATCCCTGAGGGGTAGAAGCCCTGAGCATATAAACTGTTTCACACCACTAAGTTTGGGGGTATTTGCTGTGTAACCATTGCAACTAGAACAAAGCAAGTTAAAAATAAGTTACAATCTTTATTAAATTACAGTTCCCTGCAGTACAGCATAGCAAAAATGTGGATAAATTAAAGAGCTAAATAAGAAAAAAAGAAAACCGTAAAA